TCAATTCTTTTTTTCTTTTGCTTTTCTGTGCTGGCCCTTAAGCATGAACTCTACACTGAGCTACACCTCCACCCTTCATTGTCCTTATAAGAGATGGGGTCTTCTGTATGGCCAGGGTGGCCTTGAACTCACAATCCTCCTGCCTCAGCCTCCCTGGGATTAGAGGCATGCATTATCACGCACAGTTTAGGTTATTTTAATTACCAAGCAGTGTTTAGAACATATTGTTACCACTGAAAATATTTGGGTCGCTTGGGCTTCTGTATCATTTTGTGGGGGGGCGAGGGGTGGGGTCAGGGGGACTGGACACAGGACTTTGCACAAGCTCAGGAAGTGCTCTATCACTCAGATAGACTCCTCACCAGCCATTATTAAGTTATTAATATTAAATAATTTTTTGGTGGAACTAGGATTTGAATGCAGAGCGTCGCACTTGCAAAGCAGGCGCTCTACCACTTGAGCCACTCCTCCAGTCCATTTTGCTCTGGTTATTTTGGAGATGGGGTCTCTTGAACTATCTGCCCCAAATGGCCTCGAACCTCGATCCTCCAAATCTCAGCCTCCTCTGTAACTAGGACTACAGAACGGAACACATGCCCAGCTGCCACTGTTTCTTTAAATAACAGGTTTTGCTCTCACCTCTCTTCCCATATATCTCTCATCTCATAGTCCGTGAGACTCACAGACACTGTTATCGGCCCATTTCTACAGGAGGCGTGAAAGTCACCCACACCTGGATTGAATCTCAGCTCTGCCGCTTGCCAGCTGTGTGAGTTTTGGCAGGTCACTCAACTTCTCTGAGCCTCTCTTTCCTCGGCATTAAATGAACACGGCTGACATGGGTATTGAGTATTTTTGTTTGTTTGCTTTTTTGAGGTACTGGGGCTTAAACTCAGGGCCTACACCTTGAGCCACTCCACCAGCCCTTTTTTGTGAGATAAGGTTTTTTCCGAGGCAGGGTTTCAAGAACTATTTGCCTGGGCTGGCTTTGAACCGTGATCCTCCTGATCTCTGCCTTTGCGTAGCGTAGGCTGGTCAGGTGTGAGCCACTGGCACCGGCGGGTATTGAGTTTAATGTAGCATTTTGTCATGACTTCATCATGGCGAGAACCTCCTGAGTAAGGTTGAAAACACAGAGCTCCAATCCACTCACTGAGCCAGCATTCCTAGGGAGACGAGGCCCAGAGATTCTTAGCAGGGAAATTTGGGAAACACTAGGTTGATTTTCTAAAGCTTCCATCGTCTCTGACACTAAGCAGCTCATACTTATTGGGCACTCACCTGTGTTCAGTCTTTGAAATCGGGGGGTCATAGTTGGTTTGAGTGTTTGCTGGAGTCTGCATTTCCTTGTGTGGGTCAGACTCTGGGGCCGGTGGAGTCATGGAGGCTGGCTGCCTCTGCGTTCCTGGCCCTGGGCTTGGGTCTATGCTCCCCAGGTGCCTCTACACCAGGCTCTGTTGGGAGCCCAGCATGGCACCTGGAGACTGGCATGTCCGCATCCCATGATCCAAACCTTGTGTGACCAGCATGGGTGCCAGACCCATCTCATCGGGGCGTGGATCACCCTGGACTCCAGCGGGGTGGGGCTCAGCCCATCTGAACTTCAGAGACGAACAGCCCATGTCCACAGAGTCCTTCTGGTGGTCTCACACCAAGAGAAGCTGCCACTTGGCAGGTGGCTCCTGGCTGTCCCTGGCATGGGCTCTGTAAGTTCCAGTTAGGAATGGATGGATGCCCTAGGGGTTTGACTTTTTCCATTCTGATCTCTGCTGACCCTCTTGTGGCAGGTCTCAGATTTGTCTCCATGGCCAGCCTCTCCTGGGGCTGCTGGGCCCTAGTCCCAGCCTGCCACAGGGCCCATCGAGGGCTGGTCCAGCTTCTGTGCCCAACAGCTGCTTGTTGGGATCTGCTGAGGAAATCCCTCCATACTGGAGCACTTCTGAACCAGGATAAAACCAGCCACGGCTGAGAGTCAGCAAACTAGAGCCCAACCCTCACCCCCACGTGCCGGGCACCTTTGACTTGGACAGAACAGCATGTAGCAGTGTTGAGGCCTGGCACTCACCTCCCAGAGCCTCAGTTTCTGCCTCTGCAGTCCAGGAGGCTCCGGGAAGCAACAGACCTGAAAGCTTGTTGCCCACAGGAGGTGCTCACACCCACCGAGACTCACCACCATCCTCTCCCGGCCCTGCACGCCACGAAGGTCAGTCCCTTCAGGGTGATCTGTGCTCGGCAGCACCCTGGAGCCGAACTATTCCGAACGTGAGAACGTCTGACACAGCCCCCATCACCTAAGTGTACATGGCTGTCCACTCCTTGCTTGGCTTCCCTCACTGAGGCATCGGCTGCTTGTCACCACGGCAACCAGTGTCACTCCCTAACTCCCTTGCAGTGATGATCTTTGTTGTCCTCCTTTGTCGGACTGGGTGACTTCCGATGGCTTTTTCCTGTTAGGGTTGTGTGGTAGTAGCTGTTATGATCAAGGGCATGGTATGACCCAGCTGCCTCTTGTAGGTGGCCGCCAGTTAGGGCAGCAGCAAGCAGGAAGCAAGGCCCTTCCCTCAAGGGCAAGGCAGCTGGCTCTGGGGTCAGACACACCTGGCGGGTCCTGAAGGCTCTTCTTCCTGGCTGTATGGCTTTGGGTGAGTCACTGGCCATCTGTGCAGTGGCACCTGCACAAGGCACCGTGCTTCAGTACCATCGATGAGACTGCATTGGAAGCATGGACCAGGACCCAGCAAGTGGTCACACAGGTCATAGAGGTCCGCTTCCCCCCAGCTTCCTCTTCTTCCTTGCTATTCATGATTAAGTCTGATGAAATGGAAGTGGGGTGCCAGATCTGAGCACCCCCTCTTAATTCCAAATAACTCAACCTGTCTTTGTCTGTGAAGGGGGTATAAAATGACCTTGCTCACAGCAGATGTGAGCAACACACAGGGGTGCTCCAAGGCCTATCAGCACCCCATTCTTCTTACCTTCACCTCCACCGAGGGACTCAGAGCCAGAAAACCTGAGGACAGACCATCGTGCCCCAATTTCACCCCACTCCTGGGTTCTTTCAGCAGCTGAGGCACAGATGTGCCAGCCTGGCTCCTCACCATTTGGGAAAACATAAAGGAGCCTCACACACAGCCTTGTGAAAAAGGTTAAGAGAACTTTGGCCCAATGACTCTGCTGCATTGGGAGTTGTAAGAACTTCACAAAAAAGTGTATCAGTGTCTGCCATGGTGGTAAATTGGAAATAACCCAAACATCTAACCACCTGGCTGTTAAGGAACCAAGTCAGAGGAGTTCCCAGTCTAGCATGTAGTCACGTCAGATGTTCGGAAACTATTCACATGCATGGAAGAAATGATAGAGTAAAAAATGAACAAAGTGCTTAAAGGTGTAGGTGGGACGGTGTTTTGGTGCTTTATTTTTACCTACATTGTCTACATACCTACTTATCTGGCAGGGAGCCTCGCCTGTTTTGTTTTGTTTTTTTTGGGGTAGGACTGGGGTTTGAACTCAGGGCTTCACATTTGCATAGCAGGTGCTCTACCACTTGAGCCATACCTCCAGTCCATTTTGCTCTGGTTATTTTGGAGATGGGGGTCTAGTGAACTATTTGTCCGGGCTGGCTTCGAACCTTGATCCTTCTGATCTCAGCCTCCCAAGTAGCTAGGATTATAGGCATGAGGCACTGGTGCCTGGCTTGTTTTGATATTTTTAAGGTAAATCTTTTTACATCTTTTTTTGGCTGTACTGGGGTTTGAACTCCAGGCCTCATGCTGGCTAGACAGGCACTCTACCATTTGAGCCATTCTGCCAGCCATCACTCTTTTTATAATACAGTTTTTAATGAAGACACATCCCACCAAGTCTTGTTCTGCAACCTCACCATCAGGTCGTGCCTGCTGTAAGAAGAGTCACCGGGAGACATATATGAAGCTCTGTCCTCAGCAAGAGTCCACCTGCAAGGTGCCCTACAGAGATCAATGATCCATGGGATTCAAAGAAGTCATCCCCCAAAAATTGTATAAAAAGATTTATTGAAATTTACCAATGACAAACAGACATAAAACTCAAAAGTTGGGCTCTTCTGAGGGGTAGGAGAAAAACCTGTGCAGATGCTCTTTACACAGACAAAACATGGCTAAGGAAGTAATGTGTGACGCCTCAAGTCATAGGTCAAAAGAGGGCCTGATAGCCCCGCTCACTCAGCAGCCCAGTGCCCCCGACCCCACTAGGTAAGAAAATACAATTCTGCATTACCTTTTCCCTGCTCGGGCATATGGGAAAAACAACAACAACGAAAAACCCCAGAACCAACCCAGCTGACATGCAGCGACGTCTCCAGCAGCTAGGTTTGCAAAAATGCTCTAAGCACAGAAGCACACGTGGAAGAAGTCTCCTGTCATTTTCATAAAACAAAACCTTCTCGTGTTTTACAGAACAGAACGGGGCAGGTCTTTTTTTCCCCTTTTAGAGAGGTTGAGGTTTGAGGGTTTCTCTCTTCTCTTCTCATTGTAATTACCAAGCCCTTGTGACTTGTCACTCTGGCTCACAGGTCTCACGGGTGACACCACTGTCCTCTTTGCAGACGGAAGCCCACCCGTATCTGGGTGGGAAGGGATGAGCGATGGCAAGGTTCCCAAACAAGTGCCACGCTATGCCGTAGGGTGCTAAGTACAGACTGGGTGCGCGGCCAGAGAAACGTAGAGATTACGGGAACCAATTAAAGAGCTTAGGATCCAGCTGGTGCTCAGCCCCTGGGCTTTGAGTGACCAGTCTGAGGCCAGCCATGGCCTGTCACCTAACCCCAGGGCCTTGGGACACACTGGGAATCCTGAGTCCTCCACGTCACCCTCTTGGCGAGCACGGCACAAATGCTCACATGGTGTGTGTCCTTGCATTCACAGGGACAAGATCAGACACGAAGAAAACGGAGGGGGGAAGAAAAATAAAGAGTGGCAGTAAAAATAGTCTTTTATTCCACCCCTCCCTCCCTCCCTCCCCCAGCGACCCCCAAGTACACTCTTCCCCTCTCGTTCCCACAGCAACGTTACAGTCAGAAAAAAATAAGTTTCGGGGGGCAGGATTTGGAGGGCAGGAGGGACGTGGGTAAAAACAGTCAAATCACGACAGGGATTTCTGAAAACAGTTAGTCACTCAGTCGTCGTCTTCTCCCTCATCTTCAGGCTCTCGTTTCCGCTTCTGGCCCTTTTCTTCTTCTGGAAGAAAGAGGAAAAGGCTCTCAGACGGACATCCACCCGCCTCTGTGACTCACCCCGCCGCGCCCGCGGCCCCCCAGCCCAGGCTGCTAAGAGCAAAACAGCTGCGTACCACCAAGGTCTTCCTCGTCTTCCTCGTCGTCGACTTCGCCGTCATTGTAGCCTTCTTCGTCCTCCTAGAAGGCAATGTGGACAGACAGCAGGACATTAGGTTTGTCCCCTGTCGCCCCTCAGCCTCACACCAGCACTCACATTCGGGCTCAGGACGGGAAAGCAGAGGTTCTGAGTCGATTTTGGATCAAGGACCCATCTGAGAAGCCGCAGGAAGCATTTGATCTCCCCAGGAACGCCTCGTGTCACGCACAACACTGACAGACAGCTTCAGGGGGCTGTTGGCCCACCCCAAAGCCGGTCTGCATGCCCCTGGAGCAGGTTCGACAGGAAGCCCCTTGCCCCATGACAGTGGCCTCTCTGGGTGTCAGACTCTGTTCCCATGGCGTGAGCAACCCACTTTCAAATGACAGACTTCTTTCTGCCCAGGGTAAGATCCTTTTTTGTCACCCAAGCCCCCCCTCGGAGGGGGTCTGTGCTAAGGCTGCATGGGTGTGTAAGAGCTGGAGATGTGGGCAGTCAGTGAGATTCTGAAAATGAGAACGGAGGAGCCTGGCCCGTCTCACTGGTGTCTCCACTGCCCTTGACCTGTCTCCCAAGCCTGGGCCAGGCCGCCAGGAGACCCTTCCCGAGCGGGGTGTGTGGCAGTGGACACCTCCCTGGGCCTCCCTTCTGCAGGGCAGGAGTTGACTTAGAATTCTCAACCAGCCGTGGAAACCCAGCATGCAGCGCCAGGACAGG